CTGGTCACATATCAAAAACACAGCACCACAGGGCCTGATCTGCAGAGAAACTCTGTCCCAGCCAGAATCAGTGTCCTCACAATGGGCAAGAAGCTCTGGAAGGAGCCAGGAAGGTGCTAATAAGCACCAGGACAACTGAGGAAGCCCAAAGGCCCTTCTGAAGGGTCACTGAGTGCCACCTGAGAGGCAGTGCTGGGCAGTGGGGAGGGCCAGGAGAAAGACCTGGGTGAAAGCTGTGAGAAACAGAGACACTCAGGGCTTTAGCAGCTGTCTGTGGATGGAGTAAGAGGATGAGGTCACTCCTGGGACTGGACCAGGGCTGAAGGTCCCTGCATGAAGCTGGAATGATGGAGAAGTGTCCACCTTGCATGTGTGCCTCAGCCTGGGAGCAGGGGCCTGCCCACGGTGTGGGATGGCTGGGCTGTGCTCAGCCATGTCCCAGGAGATGACCTTGCTCTCTTCCTCCCCACACGGGGCAGGCCCTCAGCAAACACCCCTGAGCCTGGAGATGCACCAACCTGCTGCAGTGAGGTGCCACTACTGCAGGGGAAGAGGGGAGGCTTGGAGAGACACGTGGGGCCTGTGGGCAAGAGTGGTGTGGCCTGGGGAAGTGAGTGCCTGGGAAAAGTTACCCTGGAGCCATAGGAGCCGTTCTGGAAAGAAAACTTGTAGGCAAGAACCACACTTTTGTGGCACTGCAGAGCTGCTGGGCACATTGTGCAGGGTGCTCCGATGGACTTGTGTGTCCTTTTCCATCATGTCTGAAGTGCCGCTTTTCTCTGAAATAGAGTAGCCAACAGAGCACTGACAGATAGTCTAAGATCATGAAAGGCATCAGAAAGCTGATACCAATGCGATAACTGAGATGGAAGGATCAGGAGAAGAATGGACAGCAGAGATGTGAGATTTGGGGGAGGGAATAGGGGCTTGGCCAGCAGAAATCAAGGATTTTGAAGAGGTAAGACAGTTCAGGTTCTGCTGATACTGCTGTAGCAGTGACGTAAAACAGTTATATGAGGCTATTCCCTGGCTTCAACCTGTAAACTTAATTCTTACACCTAAATGCTACTCCACACCCTCACAGGAATCCACTACTCTAATGACTGACCTCAACGTATCCCTAGAAGACAAAAGTCAGCCCATAGTCACTTCCCCTAGCTCTTACTCTCTTAATCAATCTGATTTCTGCTCTTAATACAAGAACTAAAATGGTCTATTTAACACTAGAAAACTGCTTAAGAGACCTAAACAAAACCCTAACTCCAAATGAATGTAAGGGGTCATGGATCTGATCAGCTAGTGGGCCACAAGGAGGAGATGGGTGGGAATGCTCTGAGGAGCTCTGCTCTGCCTCAGGATCTCCTAGCCCAGCAGCAGGAATGTGACTGTGGTAGGGACTGTGAGGTCACTTCTGTCTCTGCACTTGATAGGGCAGCAGCAGGAACATGTCAGGGAAAGGGACTGGGAGGTCACTTGTGTCTGGAGGTGGCAGGTCACCCTTGACTTCTCCCTGGGATCTGCACTTTTGGGCTGACATCTGGCAGTGGCCCTGCTAGGCCAGCAGAAGGCACCTGCTTGGCATGCTGTCTGGGGGATCCCCTCTGCCTCCAGACCCAGGGGGACCCAGACAGAAAGAAGGCCCCCAACATGGGTTGTCCTGTCCCTTCTGCTTGAGTCCAGGACTGCACAGCAGCAGGAGGCACAAGGCTTGGCTGTGTGTAGCCAAGAAGCTGCAAGGCCAGCAGCAGGCCCCTGGCTTGGAAGCTGCTGCTGAGGTGACTTGAGTCTGGTTGGCTGAGAGGACGCAAGGAGCCTGCTGGGTTGAGATGCCTACTTCAGGAGGGGTTTCCTACCTGATGGAATTTACTTTGGTAGTAGGAAAGAGCAGGAGAGAAAAAACTGCCACAAAGTGCACCATGGATGGTTGGCACTGGCTACAAGGAAGAAGAAATATCCAGGGGAACAACTGGTCTTGCTGCTGGAGTCTGAGGCAAAGAAGGCATTAAGTACCTCAGCCTTTACCTTATCTCTAGATCATTACCAGATTTCTCCCATGTCCAATGAAGGATGATGATTCTCCTTAATTCTCTTTTATTTAAAGTATTTCTATAAGCAGGGTTTATTGTCTTTGAAAGTCATAGCCAGATTGAGCTCCAGCTGGGTTGTGGCCCTTCTAACTTTGACCTGCACAGCCCCATAACATTCAGGACACAGGTCCAGAAAAACTGACAGCATGCATGAGAATGAAGAACAGAAAAAGTAGAATTTGGCAGCCTTCCACCCGCTGTGTTTCTGTGACTCTGTGTTGCAGTTGAGCATGAGTGTGGGGGAATATTGAGAACCTGCAGGATTTTGCCTAAAGTAACTTCTTGAGGTTTACAAGGAGAAGGACCCAGTCCTACACCAGAGGAAGAGTAACCCCATGCATTAGGGCACACTGGGACCCTGCTGAGTGAGCAGTGCCCAGGAGGAGGAAGGCCTGGGCACCAGGAGGGATGCCATACGAGCAGTGTTGCCTGCTCACCAGGAACCAGGTCAGCTTCCTACAGAGATGCATTACGAGTAGGAAGGCCACCAAGAAGATCTGAGTTATCAGACTCAGCTCAGATCCCCTGAGACACCGCACGAACAAGTGCCAAAAACTAGACAGTAAAGGGGCGCAGGTCTGGGAGTCACTAGCATATCCTCATTATCATTGCTCAGAGGAGTAATGGTAATGGCAAGACTGAAAGTCCCAACAGGACCCAGGTCTTTGTGTCCATGGCTATGGCTGTTGTCTCTGTCACTGAGGCCTATGAGGAGACAGCTGATCGTTAAAGCACCAGGGCCTCATTGCCTCCTCGCCCCCCACCCATGCACCATGCAGGGGTCGTACCATTCTCCTGTACTTGGCAATGCACATCCCCATCTCCTACTGCCCCACAAAGAGCCCTGAGCAAGGTGTGCAGGGAAAGGATCTCCCTTCCTACAGGCGAAGGGTCAAGGCCTGGCCCTTGTGCTTGGTGACACACATCCAGTTTGTCTACACATCAGTATCACCTTCACATTGCCTTTGTCTCCTTGTCCTCACTGCCTCCAGGGTTCTGCTCTAACGAGCTCCAAGGGAGGCTGTGTGAGTGCTGGCCCTCAGGGGAACACTGCAGGAAACTTGCCTCTGACTTGCACTTCTGGAGAGATGTCTTCAATTGTCTCTGAGTGCCTGAGGTTTGTGGGCTCATCAGCAAAGCCCCCAGAGGGGTGATTGCAGTGCCTTGGGCTGGTGCTGTGCTGCTGAGCTGGGCCGTGCTCGTGGGACAGAGAGAGCTCGTGGCAAGAGGGCCCTGGTACAGAGAGACAGCTGTGCCCAGGAGCAGCTCCTCTGCACAGCGCAGCAGGGCTGGGGGCTCTGACCGCAGGCACCCGGGCAGAAAGGGATTCCAGGCAGCCTGGAGGCTGTGGGCAAAGGAGAGTTCAGAGCAGGAGAAACCTTCACAGCTCTGCCCACGGTAAGTCTCCGGCTGCAGGACAGTGCAGGGCAGGCTCCTGGAATGGGTTTCTGTATGCGGAATGTCTCTGCCTGGCCAGGAGCTGCCAGGATGCCTCTCGTGGCTTGTGCGGTGTGGAGGAGAAGATGCTGCAGGGCAGCCTTGGACAGAAGATGAGCAGGTCAGGGTCTGCCTGCAAAGAGAAGGCACCTTGCACTCTCTGCCTGCCTCATCCTGCTATGATTGCAGGGCAGACTCTGCATTAACAGAGTGGCTGGGTTTGCCCAGGTGATGGAGCTTCCTGTTGCATTTGAATAAGACATAAACAGGTTAGTGACGAACCCGAAAGTATCCCTTCAGTTCTCTCTGCTTACACACTGCACCAGGGCTTTGCTGAGATATTCATTAAGGACCTGCAGACAGGGAGATCTCCCCAGAGCTGTCCTCATCCCCGGCAGCTGTCTGCAGGGCTGAGCTTGGCACACAGCGGGTGGAATGGGGTCTGTGAGCATTGACGGGAGGAGACATGGGGACAGAGAAAGAGCTGCTGGCAGGGACAACTGCAGGCAGCAGGGACATGGGCAGGCAGTGAGAGGGAGCTGCTCCCTCCCTGCCATCCCCTGCAGTGCAGGCATCTTCCTTCCAGCAGCCCCTGGTCTCCTCTCTTCCCCTCAGAGCTTCTGTCACGGCTTGTATAACCTGGGGGGCTGAGAATATGGGGTGTCTGAACCCTAAAACTCTGTGTCAGTAGACACATTTTCTGCAGCCCCCTCCACCTTCCTCCATGGAAGAAGGCACAGAATCACAGAATCATAGAATATCCTGAGTTGGAAGGGACCCACAAGGATCATTGAGTCCAGCTCCTGGCTCCACAGAGGTCTTACCCCCAAATTCCTACCATATGACAAAGAACATATTCCAAATGCTTCTTCCACTCCAGAGCTCTTGTCCCTCTGCTGTCTGTGCAGGGCAGATGGCACAGGGCTGTGAGGACAGGCTCTACCTCACCGACACCGCAGCCTCTGCACTGGGTTGGGTCTGCCCTGCCTGCCCATGCCTGCTTCTCTCCCTTGCCCAGCGTGGCAGCTGGTGGTGCCTGATTCTGACAGGGAGTGCTGTGCACGAAGGGTGAAGCAGGAGGAGATGATCCCTGTTCTCTCCGGCCAGACGTGCACGATCCATCTGCTGGTTTTGTCTGCTGGGTATTGAACAGGGAAGATGCACATAGAGTCACAGAGCCAAACACCCCTCACTCAGCACAGGGAGCCACTGCCCAGGAACCTTCCCTCTTGGAACCTCGAATGGAGCAGAGCAGGCTCACTGGGAGCTGCTGGGCAGAGGAGGCTGCAGTGTACAGGACACTCAGCAAGCACACAGCAGGGATCCAGACAGGGATATAGGCAAAGGTCTTCTTGGAAACAGGGAATGTAAGGCTTTAATTGGGAATTTCTCAATTTTGCTCAGAGACATTACTCGTAACACTCTCTATTTATTTTTTTTTTCTCATTTGGCAGTATCCGTGTCCAGAACCAGCAAATGTCCAACAGCAGCTCTGTGAGTGAGTTCCTCCTGCTGACATTCACAGACACACGCGAGCTGCAGCTCCTGCACTTCGCGCTCTTCCTGGGCATCTACCTGGCTGCCCTCCTGGGCAACGGCCTCATCCTCACAGCCGTAGCCTGCGACCACCATCTGCACACCCCCATGTACTTCTTCCTCCTTAATCTTGCTCTCCTCGACCTGGGCTGCATCTCCACCACTCTGCCCAAAGCCATGGCCAATGCCCTGTGGGACACCAGGGCCATCTCCTATCAAGGGTGTGCTGCACAGGTCTTATTTTTTGTTTTCTTGGTTGGAGCAGAGTATTCTATCCTCACAATCATGGCCTACAACCGCTACATTGCCATCTGCAAGCCCCTGCACTACGGGAGCCTCCTGGGCAGCAGAGCTTGTGCCCAGATGGCAGTAGCTGCCTGGGGCAGTGGCTTTCTGTACAGTGTCCTGCACACGGCCAATACATTTTCCCTGCCCCTCTGTCGAGGCAATGTTTTGGACCAGTTCTTCTGTGAAATCCCCCACATCCTCAAGCTCTCCTGCTCAGATGCCTACCTCAGGGAGGCTGCGCTTCTTGTAGTTAGTTTCTGTTTAGCATTTGCGTGTTTTGTTTTCATTTCATTTTCTTATGTGCAGATCTTCAGGGCTGTGCTGAGGATGCCCTCTGAGCAGGACCGGCGCAAAGCCTTTTCCACGTGCCTCCCTCACCTAGCTGTGGTCTCTCTAACTCTCAGCACTGCCTTGGTTGCCTACCTGAAGCCCCCCTCCATCTCTTCCCCATCCCTGGACATGGTGGTGTCATTTCTGTACTCGGTGGTGCCTCCAGCAGTGAACCCCCTCATCTACAGCATGAGGAACCAGGAGCTCAAGGACGCCTTGTGGAAACTCATTGGATACATGCTTCTTTTGCATCAATAGTGTGCCTATAATATTAAATGGACACACAGGTTATCTGAACAATCTCTTTGTACAATAGCTTGCAATTCTTTTATTATTATTAATATTATCTCTTAAAATTGTGATTTTGGTTGAATTCTGTTCATGGCATTCTGTCTATTATATTTTTTTTAATTTATTTGCTTTCACCAAATCATCCTATATACCTGCAGAACTTGGCTTCCTGTTTGGATAAGGAGAATAAAGAATCCACGAGAACTTCATTGGTCTCAGATGCTATCTCTTCCCATCTCCTCTGGAGCTGCTCCCACACAGAGGAGCAGCCCCAGTGGACCTTGAGACTGCCCCTCACTGCCCGCTGGGCTCTGCCTTTCTGCCGCCTTCAGGTTGGGGCTGCTGCTTCCCTGGAGCCATGGCCAGCAGCAGGATGTGGCCTTTTCACTGCTGCTCTCTTTTGGCTTCTAAGTTGTTCTCTTGAGCTCTTGTACTTCACTAAGCCCTTAGGTCTCATGTACCTTGGTGAAAGTTGTCTCTGCAGTGGCATCTCTGCCACATCTCTGCTTCTTGCAAAGCTGGTGTCAGGAATACACCCAAGGAGCTGCTCACTTGTCCTGGTTTCAGCTAGGATAGAGTTAATTTTCCTCCTAGCAACTGGTAGGGTGTTGTGTTTGGGATTTAAGATTAGAATAATGTTGATAACACACCGATGTTCTAATTGTTGCAGAGCAGTGCTTACACCAAGCCAAGGACTTTTCAGCTTCTTGCTCTGTCCTGCCAGTGGGCAGGCTGGGGGTGCAGTAAGAGCTGGGAGAGGACAGACCCAGGACAGCTGACCCAAACTGCCCAAAGGGGTATTCCATACCATCTGACATCATGCTAAACAATAGATAGGGGTGTTAGGGCATCGGTCAGCGGGTGGTGAGCAATTGCATTGCGCATCACTTGTTTCATACACATTATTAGTAGTAGTACTATTATCATTTTTTTCTGTCCTAATAACTGTCTTTATCTCATCCCACATGCTTCATTTTCCTGTTTCTCTCCCCCACCCCAGAGAGGGAGCGGGGAGGGTGACTGAATGGCTGTATGGTGTTTAGCTGCCAGCTGGGTTAAACCCCAACAGTGTGAGACACAGCCTTTCACTGACAGGTAACAGGTCAACCAATGCTGGCCCCACACTGCGAGGAAAAATAAACAAAAAGTAAAAATGTTACATACAGAATAAAGAAGATGGTTCTTGAGGATACAAGACTGCAGGCACCTGTGAGCAGTACAGACATTGACCTGTGGTCTCAAGGCTCCCTGTGTGGGGAGTAGGAGAAAGAGGCCAGTGCCTGTCCTGTGCCACCTCCCCACCAGCCCTGCCCTTCCACAGGTGGAGTATTTCTCCCTTACTCAGGCACCAGCAGAGCTTTGACTCCTCATCCTCTACATGGAGATGAGCCACAGGCCCGGCTGTGTGCAAGGGGGCAGCAGAAAAAAAGCCAGTTTCTTGTCACTCCGGTATCTGAATGGTCCTGTGGTTGAATCTGTTCTCTGCAGCAAAAGGATGTCTCCAAGCCCCAGGTCTGTGGTTGCTCCTGCAGCTTTGAGGACCTCTCCAAGGGCATCAAAGTATCAACGATAAGGACCTATGTGGGTCAGCTTGCCCATGGATCACAGCAGTAGGTTGGTAGGATTCCGTAGTACAAAAGGACACGGACACCTCATTGCTCTGTTTTTGGGAATGTCTGTATTACAAATTGCTACAAATCCCTACCTGTAAAGCAACTACTTATTGCAAGAAACTATTAAGTTACCACTAGGAAAGCAAATATGGGCTTGTGATGCTTTCCATAACTCTGCACCAATAAATATTATTTGAGGTGCTACTGGTATGACACTCATGAATCCACTTGATGGAGGGAACAAAGCATGGCACCTTCCCCTTCTTTCTTTCAGGCCGGACACGATAGCTCTTGAGTAATTTGAACATCATTAGGTAACCCTAATGATATGCCTCCAGACTGCGTTTCTGGCTATTTCCAAGGGCAAACAAGTAAAAAAAAGGGTACCAGAGGGCTGTTGGCATAACTGCCGTGAATACAGAGAACGTCAAATAGTTGTCTACCTTGCCTGGTCTCACACAGGACCCTTCTGTTGTGGGGTTGCTGAGAGCCAAAGAGCAGGTGCCTATGGCTGCCACAATGGTGCACCGGCAGCAATAGCGCACTGACCTCCAAGTCCTCCAAGCTCAAGAGCTATGTATTCCTGTGAGCAAAATGTCAGACAAAGGGAGCAGGACACCTGCTTGGATGATCAAGGAGATCCTGGAGTGGCTTGAATGGAAGAAGGAAGTGTACAGAACGTGGAAAAAAGGGACAAGCCACTTGGGAAGAATATAAGGACATTGTCCAAGAAAAGGTCCTTTTCAAATATATCAATAGCAGAAGGAAGAGGAAGGAAAATGTGGGCCCACTGCTTAATGAGTTAAGTGTCCTCGTGACAAAGAACACAGAGAAGGCAGAATTACTGAATGCCTTCTTTGCTTCAGTCTTCACTGCTAAGAGCAGCCCTCCGGAATCTCTGGCATTAGGAACAAGGGAGGAAATCTGGAGAAACGAGGACTCTCCATTGGTTGAAGAGGAACAGGTCAGATATCTCTTAGGCAAACTTGACAGCCACAAATCCATGAGTCATAATGGGTACATCCATGAGTTCTGAGGGAGATGGCAGATGTTACTGCTGGCCAATCATTTTTGAAAGGTCATGGAGAACAGGAGAGCTGCCTGAAGACTGGAAGAAAACTCATGTCATACCCGTCTTCAACAAGGGCAAGAAGGAGGACCCAGGCAACTACAGGCCGGTCAGCCTCACTTCCATCCCTGGAAAGGCAATGGAACAGCTCATCCTGGAGGTCATCTCCAGCCTGTGGAAGAGAAGAAGAAGATCAGGAGTAGTCAGCATGGGTTCACCAAGGGAAACCATGCTTCACCAACTTGATAGGCTTCTATGATGGAATGACTAGCTGAGTGGGTGAGGGGAGAGCAGCAGATGTTGTCTACTTTGACTTTAGCAAGGCTTTCAGCACTGTCTCCCATAACATCCTCATGGGCAAGCTCAGGAAGTGTGAGATGGAGGAGTGGTCGGTGAGGTGGGATGTGAGCTGGCTGGATGGCAGAGTTCAGAGGGTCGTGCTTAGTGGAAGAGTCTAGTTGGAGTCCTGCAGCCAGCAGTGTCTCCCAGGGACCTACAGTGATTCCAGTCCTGTTCAACTTATTTGTCAGTGACTTGGATGATGGAATAGAGTGCACCCTTGTCCTGGTTTCAGTTAGGACAGAGTTCATTTTCCTCCTAGTAGGTGGAAGGGTGCTATGTTTTGGATTAGGATGAGAAGAGTGCTGAGAAGAGCAATCAGCAAGTGTAAAGATGTGCTGTTCCGTGTCAAAGTGCTCTGTTTTGAGTCAAAGGTCTCCTCAGGCTCTCCTCAAAGCTCAGCTCAAGCTCTCCAGCTCAGATCCCCACCTCAGGGAAGCTGGGGTACTTGCATTCAGTGTCTGTTTAGCATTTGGATGTTTTGTTTTCATTGCTCTGTCCTATGTGCAGGTCGTCAGGGCTGTGCTGAGGATGCCCTCTGAGCAGGGCCAGCACAAAGCCTTTTCCACATGCCTCCCTCACTTGGCCATGGTCTCCCTGCATAGCATCACTGCCATGGTTGCCTACCTGAAGCCTCCCTCCACCACCTCCCTATCCCTGGGCCTGGCAGTTTCACTTCTAATCTTGGTGTTGTCTTCAGCAGCGAAACGCTCATCTATAGCATGAGGAATAAGGAGCTAAAGGAGGCACTGAGGATGTTATTCTAATCTACAGTATTTCCTCATCAATGAGGTACCTGCACATCTTCCTCACATAAACCTGGACAAGGCAGAAACACCTTTGTTCATGTATTTCAAAATTGCTTTACATTCTTTGCAATAGTAGTCCAATAAAAACATTTTTCTCCATCTCACTTCTTCGACCTGTTGTTGTTGTCATTGTTGTTTTTTAACCCAAAGACCTCATTTGCAGATGCTGGTAAGCTTTGTAACTAACCAAATAAAATAACCAGCAGGTAGTCATTTTCTGTGACTCTTGTTTCTCATAATTTCTCTTCCGGTACAGCAGAGGTTGTGGAATGAAGAGCCCAGCTGCAATGTGGAGGAAAAGCAGAGATGTGGCTGAGGGACTCGATGTTTTTTTCTGTAGTACTCTGTACCAAAAAGTTCTCCTAGGCCTCTCTATTCAGTAAAAGAGAAAAAGGATGAGAAGAGCATGTACCAAAAGGAACGCCATGAAAAGCCACGAAGACAAGGGCCATTTTCTGCCCCTGCAGGGAACTAACACTGGGCAAGGCCCAGCTTGAGAAGCAGCCCTGTCGGACGTTCTTGGTGGGCAGTGAGCTGGGCAGGAGGCAGCCGTGTGCCCTGGGAACACAGGAGGGAAGGCTGAGGGGCACCTCACGGCAGCCTGTCAGGAGCTGCAAGGAGCTCATAGAGCATCCAGGGCCAGGATCTGCCCCGTGGCCACGAGTCCTGCCTGCCCTCCTCCTGCCATACTTCGTGCAGTGGCTGCACCAGAGGAGACCCCCAGCCAGCCCCTGCATGGGGCTCTGCCACCCACCTCGCCCTGGACCTCTCCAGCGCCCTCCTTGTTGCTCTCTGATGCACGCCAGGATCTGCCAGTGCATGCCGGCCAGCACATCTGCTGAAGGCCAGTGCGGCTGCTGCAGGGGCAGGGAGCTCAGCATGGCCTTTGAAGCCCCCTGCCCTGGGCCTGCCTCTCCCCTTGGTCTCGGCCCCAACCTTGGCTCTGCTGGCAGAAGTGCTCTTAGCATGCGCTTCCTGGCCTCCCCTCACCAGCACACAGCTGCTGCCCACTCAGGCTGCTGCCACAAACGTGTCCTCACCAGCAGAACCACCCCTTGCTATGCTTCTCCTGGTGTTTCTGAACAATCAAGTTTACTGGACATGTTTAGTGGCCTGGCACATCAGACCCACAAATGTTTCAGGCTCTACTGGATACCGGTGCACGGGGTACCCTAATGCCATCAAGACTTAAAGAGGTAGAACCCAACTGTATTTCTGGAGTGACAGGGGGATCCCAGCAGTTAACTGTCTGGAGGCTGAAGGAAGTCTAACAGGGAAGGAATGGCAAAATCATCCCATTGGGACTGGCCTGTGCATTATCAGCTTAGACTGTTTCAGGAGAGGGAACTTCAAAGTTCCAAGAGGGCACTACCACTGGGGCTTTGGCATACCTTCCTTTGAGATGGAGATCTTAAACTGTTGTCTACCTTGCATGGTCTTCCACAGAATCCTTCTGTTGTGAATTTGCTGAGGGTTGAAGAACAGCAGGTGCCAACGGCTGCCATGGTGGCGCACTTGAGGCAGCATCATGCTAACCGGGACTCCCTGATTGCCATCCATTAGCTGGTTCATTGACTGGAGAGACAAGGTATAGCTGTACAAATTGGTAGCAGGTACTGAGAGGAGAGTGATGTAACCGCTTGAGCAAGTCAAGTCGGGAGGCACAAAAGTTGAAGTGACTTGGAGTATTAATGGGCCCCACTGAGGGCTGTTCCTAATGAAGCCTCCCCGGGGCCTTGTTAGGACAGATAATTGGAGGCCATGATTACAGACAGGCTAAGTGCTGTGCTGAGAAAAGTCTTGGTTGGTTTTAGTGAAGCAGAAGAGCAAGGCCTGCCACCAGCTACTAGAGGGGAGATCTTGTACCCCATGTCTGTGTCAGGGCTCTTCCTGGGGATCTGTGGGATGTTCTGGGCAGTGTGATGCCATGAGAAGAACACTGGAATGACACCTCCCAGCATCTGCAAGGGTTGCAAGGAAGGAAGGAGGCCCCACTGCAATGACTACATCTCATCACATCATCAGGGGACAAAAACTTCAGGGCTGTTGGGGCTTTCCATTCTCGCCAGCACCCTCTGCCTTCTACTCTGCAGGCTTTCCAATGCTGTCCCACACTTTGCCCTATTTTCTTGAAGTCTGCAGACACCCATGTCTGTTCACCACCTTGCTCTCATCCCAGCATTTCTTCCTCATCGAGGCCAGTGCAAACCTTCCACATTGCTTTTTGTGGCAGCTTATTCTCTCCTCTTCTTTGCTAATATCAAAGGAAGCTCCATCAGGGTGGAAACCACTCC